GATGCAGGTGCCGGCTGCCCAGTCCTGTGCACCTGCCATGACCAGGTGGTGGACTGCAGCGGCCAGCGGCTGTTCTCAGTGCCCCCCGACCTGCCCATGGACACGCGCAACCTCAGCCTGGCCCACAACCGCATCGCCGCCGTGCCGCCCGGCTACCTCACCTGCTACATGGAGCTCCGCGTGCTGGACCTGCGCAACAACTCCCTGCTGGAGCTGCCCTCGGGCCTCTTCCTCCACGCCAAGCGCCTGGCGCACCTAGATCTCAGCTACAACAACCTGAGCCACGTGCCGGCCGACATGTTCCGGGCGGCCCACGGGCTCGTGCACATAGACCTGAGCCACAACCCCGGGCTGCGCAGGGTGCACCCCCAGGCCTTCCAGGGCCTGGTGCAGCTCCGGGACCTGGACCTCAGCTACGGGGGCCTGGCTTTCCTCAGCCTCGAGGCGCTCGAGGGCCTGCCAGGCCTGGTGACCCTGCAAATCGGGGGCAACCCCTGGGTGTGCGGCTGCACCATGGAGCCCCTGCTCAAGTGGCTTCGGAACCGGATCCAGCGCTGCACAGCGGGTAAGCAGGGGCAAAGGCTTAGAAAGGGAGGGAGAGACCGGAGGTCCCAATTTGTGATGCACACTGCCCTTCAGATGCCTGCTCTCCCGGTCTCTGAGTGCATTGTGGGGCTGGGTTCCACGCAGGCCTGAAACCAGTGCCCCAGCCTCTGTGGCACTCTGCCCAGTGGGGCAGGCAGTAAGCAGGTGGGGAGAGCTGACAGCAGGCGCTGTTTGTCAGCTCCCCCTGGGGCCCAAGAGCTTGGCACACATCACCTCGCCGAACCCTGTTCCTGCCACCCGCACTCCGGATGAGTAGGACTGAGATTTAGACCAACAAAAGGAGACCTAGGACCTCGCACTTGGGAAGTGGTAGGGCCTTGCAGAAACCCGGGCTGGTGTGACTTCTAAGACTCAATCTCCTAAGTGTCTTAAGTGCCAAGAAAACTCTCGAGAGAGGAGAAGTGGTAACCACTGTTTACCTTAGCATTTACTACCTATGGCGTACGCCCTGCTCTGAGCGCGGCACGTTTACTCTCCCATACCTTCCCGATCCCCAGGGCAGTGGCTGCTCTACAGAGGGAAACCGAGGTGCACAGCGACTGGGACCCTGGCCCTGGGTCACACAGCGGAAGTGCCAAAGTTAGGGTCACACCCTGGCCGTCTGGCTGTGTCCCAGCCCAGATTTCTGGGCTGACCAAGGACTCCAGCCAGGGCGTGGGGTGCAGGGCCAGGCAGTGGAGGCCTTCTACCCTGCAGTTCCAGTGACTGCAGGGCCTGAGGCACAGGGGCTGGAGGGAGCCCTGGGGTCAGCCAGCAGCTCCCCGTGGCCAGCTAAGCCTAGGCACACTGCCCAGCATGGGGTGACAGAGTCCAGGGCCAGCCTGGGGCTTTTCCCAGCCTGGGCTCTGCATGCTTGCAGTGAAGTAGGAGGGCAGCAGGCCTGAGTGGGGAGCCCGAGCCCAAAATAGTCTGGGGGGCTGTTTCCACGGAGCTGTGGGAGAAGGACGGTCCCTGGGACCGAAATAGCTGGGGCTGAGACAGGGCACCGGCGCCCGCCAGCTCAGCCCCTTCCTGCAGCCAGAGCCCCCCTGTCCTGGGTGCTGAGGACAGCAGGGGCCTCCTGGCTCAGCTGCCTGCTGCCCCGGGGAGCCCAGAGCCCAGCAAGCAGGACGGCGGCCCAAGGTCCCTTACCGAGCTGAGCAGGACAGACAGCGGCCCCAGGAGGGACAGTGACCACCCCGGCCTGTGGAGAGGAGGCAGACAGGCCAGGCAGGTGCAGCCCACGCCTCACCGGACACACCCGCTCCTCGCTCCCCACGAGTGCCCCCTGCGCAAAGGGCAGGTGGGAAAGTGCGACCCCTGTTTCGGTGTCTCTACACTGTCATTCTGTTGGGGTTCTCGCTGTGACCTGTGATTTGGGGGAGACGTGAGCGCAGAAAGACTGAGGGAGCTCTCGGGACACAGCCTGACTTCCGGGTCTGTGCTGGCTCCTCTGTGCCCGTCCTGCGTCCTGTGCGGTGCTCCGCATCCCCTCTGGCTGGCCCGTGTCCCCCCCAGTTTGAGTTGTCGCACTGCTGCTCAGTTTACCTGCACAGGAGACTCTGGTCCCAGGGAAGCTGTGTTCCTGGCAGGCAGCTCCAGGCACAGACCCGGCCTGGGCAGGGTTGGGTCCCTTCCAGCAGCTGACAAAGTGACAGCCTCGGGTCTGGGGGGGCCCATCCTCCTCTCAACTGAACCCCCATTACTGAGGGTGGTGGGTTTTCACCCGCTGGTCAGGATGATCCAAGACCACCTTCTTGTTCTTTACCCCCAAACTGCAGAATGAAAACTCTGAATGTCAAAAGCTTCACACTAACCATCTTAGGAAATTCAGGTTGGGCAGCATGTGAGAACCAGTCAGGGCTCAGGTGATGCTGTGTGGTGAGCTCAGCTCGCACCACGCCTACCTCCACTGACACCATCACCCACTCATAAATAGGAGGCCCTGGAAGGACACGGGGGGACCCTCAGTGCCAGGGAGAACAGGAAGAAGAGGCACGGCCCCCCTAGGGAGCCAGTCCGGGCCGAGGGAGGCCGGGCTCCAGTGATCACAGCGTTTCACGCTCCTCACACCAGGGATACCTCGTGTCCGCTCCCTTGCTGACCCTCAGCACAACCCCGCGGTGATGCTCTTACTGTCCTCGCCCGGCAGGTGAGAAAGCCAGCCTGGGAGGCACTGGGCGGCTTCCCCGGGCTTGCACACCCAGAGAGGCTCCAGAGCTCGAGCTCTTCACCTGGTGCCCTGTGTGTCTGGGAAGCCACGCTGCTAGGCAGAAAGACACAGGGCTGGGCAGGATGTGGGCGGGATGGCATTCTGATGCGGAGGGTCTTAAGGCAAGCAGAGTTTATGTCCAAGGAGGGGAGGACGCACAGTAAGCAGAGAGACTGTCAGGCGGGGCTCAGTGACTTGCAGAGACAGGGAGCAGAGCCGCTAGGACAGGCGTCTCAGGACAGGCGGAGGCTTGCTGTTTAGTACAGAATCGTACAGGAAGTACACGAATAAGGGCCTTCGAGTGAAATCCTGGGGAAAAAGACCCTCACGAGGGAGAGAGAGAGACCCTGTGCCCAGGCGGGAGAAGGAGGTGGGTCAGGAACAGAGGGAAGAGACGGGAAGAGTCCCGGAGCCCACGGCCAGGACCTGACTTCGGCCCCGTGCCACGGGGTGGCAAGGCGGGGTAGGGGCAGAAACCCACGCCCACGCAGGAGGCCACTGTAAGAGATGACTGCACCCCCGGGCCGGCGGGGATTGTTCACATCTGCAGGGACACGGGAGGCCGAGGAACAGAAGTAAGTTTGGGCTGCAGAGGACACTCAGAGACTCCCTCTCTCCTGGGCAGGTAGCGCCAGTCCATTCTCGCCCCAGTGTCTCACCCCCCTGGTTCTATGTTGCAGACTCCCAGCTGGCTGAGTGCAGGGGGCCCCCCGAAGTCGAGGGTGCGCCCCTCTTCTCCCTCACAGAGGAGAGCTTCAAGGCCTGCCACCTGACGCTGACGCTGGACGATTACCTCTTTATCGCGTTCGTGGGCTTCGTGGTCTCCATTGCGTCTGTGGCCACCAACTTCCTGCTGGGCATCACTGCCAACTGCTGTCACCGCTGGAGCAAGGCCAGCGAGGACGAAGAGATCTGACGGAGGTTCCAAGGGTGCCCCGGCCGCCTCCGTGGTGGTTCAAGCACAGTCAGGACCTCAGGTGGTACGAGCACCCTTTGCTGGGTGGGACCCTGGACTGGGAATAAGAGGTCCACCCAGTCCTGCCTCCGGGCGCCGCCTGGTAGAGGAGAGAGCTGAGATTGTCCCTCGGTGGCCACACATCCGTACTCCGAGCACCAAGTTACAGCAGCCCGGGGCAGGGCCCACGCCTGGGCCTCACGGAGTCCAAGAAGAACAGGCGTGGACTGACAGGCGTGGGCTTTGTCATCTGCTTTGCCACCGTGCACCCTGGGGGCGGCAAGGCCTCCACACTGGCCCCTCCGTCTCCTGCAGGCAGCCGCGGCCAGGCGAGACCCCTCCTGGAGAGGGCCCCATGCCACCTCTCAGCCTCCCAGCCTGGCCCTGCCACTCACCCTGGCCTTGGGGTCTCTCCAGGGAGCTGGCCAGGGCCCGCAGACCCACGGCATGACACCCCCAGGGCTGGAGTGCGACGGCGCCCCTCCCCCACTCACCTCCTGCCTCACAGCCACGGAGGGCCAGGCGCAGACCGGTGGGGTCACTGCTGCTTTAGAATTCGAGAAAGTCTGATGCTTCTGCTGCCCCTCCCGCACTGGGGACCACCCCACACCCCCTAAAGCTACATAAATTCAAATCCCAGTAGTGCGCATGATGCCAGCTCGGGCCAGGCACAGCTCTGGGCAGTTTTACAGCCATTAACTCAATCCCATCAGTTCTTACAACATGGGGTGCCCTGACCCCCACTTTGCTGATGACTCGGGGGTAGGGAGCCGAGGACCGTAGCCCCGCTCATCTGGGTGACCCCTCAAAGCAAGGAGCAGGCGTCTACATTCAGAGAAGCGGCAGCGAGTCAGTCAGCAAACCGAGCGCCCGTGCAGGGCAGTTAGTGTCGCGGTCCTCATCATCTTCGCGGCCAGCATCACCTCCCCTGGTCACGCAGCCTGGGCCGTCCAGGAAGGGCCTTCAGGTCCCTCTGCTCGACTTTGCACCACCCCTTGGGAGGCCAAGGGGACCCCCAGGGACCTCAGTGCGCCTCACCTACTCAACTCGGGCGGTGCTCTTCCTGGCGCCATTCTGGGGACTGGAGGAAGAGGCCCCGGAGGGCTGAGCTGTGGGACTCGGGTGAATCCGCCAGTGATGAGAGGAAAAGGCCATGGGCTCGGAGCTTGCCGTGGGATGAGCTGAGGCCCCGGAAACAGGCGGCACAGGGGACACCCGGACAGGTGAGACCCTCTTCGTGACGTGTGACGGGGCCATGTGGCCAGTGTTTAAACCTTCAACCTATTACAGTAAAAGACACACGACCACGGGTCCCCTGGAGACCCTGCCCCTCACTGCAGACACTCATTTCGCGTCCCAGACGCTTCCTGCCACAGCTCTGGAGCCCTCTTTCCTGAGTGTCTCTAGTTATTCTGTCCTGGCTGCCTCCACGTCCAGAATCTCCTGAAAAGCACCTCCCTTTCTGGGTCAGTTGGGTTGTGGGGAAGAGCCAGAAGTCAGCGCCAGGCGCCACGAGCAGGGGGCTGTGGGCACCGTGTCTTGATTTTAGGAGCTGCCTTCCCTGGACAGCAGCCCTTGGGGTTCTGCGTCATACAGACCCTCCTGAAGGGGCAGGGTAGACGCTGAGACACAGCCCCGTGTGTCAGCAAGGTTGGCCAGAGTGAGGAGGAAAGCAGCAGCCTTCCTTCTCACCCTGAGCCCCCAAAGGTTCCATAGTCCTGTCCTCCCACAGGGCAAAAACGAATGAAGGAGGAGGTGTCATCTTCAGAGAAGTCTCCCAGCCACCGTCCACCTTGAGCTGGTCGACTAAAAACATCCCCAGAAACTCCAACCTTGAACTCCCCTGAACTGCGGTCCAAGCTCTGCCCCTCTGCATCCTCGGAAGACCTGTGCCCTGCTGTGTCTTCCCACTCTGGCCAAGAAGGGCTCGAGCTCTTCTCCACCCGTTGGGGCTGGAGCCTGTGGCATTTGGACAGGAACTTTGCAAATAATAGTTCAGACAAAACAGTTAAGTTTCCGCTGGAGGAGTGCCGTGTTCAGCTTAATACTTTCCCAGGGATTGTTGTTTTGCTGAAATGCACTTGATACATTTTAAGACATGCACTTGTTTTCCCCTCCTTTTTTGCATAAAGCTAGAAGCAGACAAGGTAGCAAATGCCCTTGAGATCAAAAGTCCTTTCTGGGCTGTGGGTTTAGCTCAGTGGTTCCACCGCATGTCTCGCAAGGGCAAGGAACCAAGTTCAATCCCCGGCACCAAAAAAAAAGTTATTTCTGGGGCGGCAGGATTTTCTCTCCACTAAGGGCAAAGGTTTCTGAGAGGGTGTATGCTTCTCTGGCTGCTAGAAAATCCCTGGTTAACTAAAGCACAGTTAGGGGAATATTAAACCTTGCTACCACCACCATCGTCTTCTTTAGTCTGTCAGACTGAGCTTCTAGAACAACCCAGCCCTCCTGATGAGCACAAAAGCCATTATGGTGTCTCCCCAGGGCTTTACCGTGCCCACTCGCCTGGCTGACGTGTGGGCTGGGTATCTGTGTGTCCGAATGTCTGTCTGTGACATTCCATTGTCGTTGGTTATCTGCTGCCTTGGGGAAGATCCCTCTGGAATCTGTGTCCGTCTCTCTGACGCAGTCCACACAGCTGTGACGTGCAAAGAGAGAAGCCTGCCCCGTCTGCAGTGGTCTGGCTGCTCAGAAAGTAGAAAGAGAAAAATTCTGCAGCACAAGTGTCCTCGTGAGGACCTGCCTCCTCCCTGCCTCCCTCCGTCCTCCTCTACCCCTTGGAGACTTGTCCTCATCTCAGAAGTTTCCTTCATGCACTCCCGAGGGGATGGAACCTAACAAGCTGTCAGGGCTGTGATGGTCAAGGTCTGACCCAAGAAACGGCTCTTCAGAAAGAGCCCCGCCACACTGCGGGGCCCCGGACAAGTTGCCTCCAGTCACCCTCAAGCAAACTCTCGTCTTCTTCCACTCTTGCAGGATTCCCAGGGAACCTTGCAGAAACGGTTCCCCTGAGATACTGCGGAGTCCCACAGCCCCTTTCGAGGAGTTAGACGTACAGGATTTCGACAAAGCAAGACAGGCTGTTTACTCCACCCATCAGAGAGCCACCACGGCCCCCGTGTCTCTCTCTCAACCTTCCAGTCCAGTGGTAGACAAGCATTGCGAGCTACTTTTGTTCATTCCTCCAAAGGACACCTTCCGAAGCTAGGGAAGTTTGTCCATTCTCCCCCGTCCCAGAAGAAGGCAAGGGGGAAGCCAGGGAGGCAAGTCGCGAGGTCCTTTCGTAAACCACCGCCATGTTTGCCAGAGCAGCGGTGGGAGAGCTGGACCCAAAGAGCTCTTGGTTTTTCTAAGCACTGCCCTGCCAAGGGCTGCTATCTGGCCGTGGGAGGGGTGGGAAGGGTTAGGGGCTCGAGGGAAGACATCGACCTTTGTATGGAGCTGATTTTATAACCATGCACTTTTGTAACTGTGAAGAATTTTTCATAAATGTACATTAATAATAAAGTGTATAGTTTAACAAATTTTCTTAAGAGTTGTGAAGAGGAGGCAGAGAGGGAGGCAGAGAAAGAGAGACAGAAAGGAACTAGGCGGAACCAGAAGACTGTGTGCCAAAATATACACACAAAAGGTCCATGGGGAGGGAGAAGATGGGAATAATTAGGAGATGTGCCAGCCTTGAGGGGTTTGCGTGGGAGTAGAAGAAGCCTTTTTCATCATCGGAGAAGCCTTCTACCAGGCAGAAAAGAATGTGCATGTGTCTGCATGCACATGCCCCTGTGTGTAGGCATATTTTGGTATCTGAAATTACACAAGGAACAGAACATATGTTTTATACATGTTGGTGTTTGCAGTTTGGGTCATTCATAAAACATGCCAAGGCAAGTGGGTATGCCTGCCTAATTAGCGTCCTCGGGGATAAGTGGCAGAGACATGGTCCAAGCCAGCAGCGTAGGCAAATGGACATTAGTTGGGGTGGACAGGTAAACCAGATGTCTAAATGAATGGTGTGGGGGGCGGACAAGGCCATTGCTGGTATAAATTTAATTCCTATTCTCAAAGATTAATAAAGAGGTGAAAGAATTCTGAACCTCCTGGGTGTTGCAAATGCTGCCTACACACCGTCAGGAATGAGGTCGCTGGACAGTGTGCTCTGAGAACAGGGGTGAGATAAGGAGGCAGGGGTTCTTCTGTGAGTACAGTGGCAGCCGTGCTCATCCCAGTGCTCTAAGTAGGAAGCCGCCCTCCGTAGGAACTCAATCCAAACAGGAAGTGATGCCTTCCACCAAGAAGGATGTAACATCCCTGTATTTGTCCCACTCCGGTTGCCACAGGGTGCACACAAAACTGCGCTCACAGAGTCAAGCCACAAAAGGGACACAGACATTGACTCATGACGTTCAGATAAACAGAGGACATGCCCGACTATAACCAGCATTCTCTGGCGTACATTTGGAGGGAAGCCAAACCTTTCTCTTTAAATATGTTACATAGAGTACACTGTACAGGTGCAAAACCAAAAACAAGGGTCCCAAAATAAGCAGACATCTGACAGAAGACTGGTCGTGGTGTATCTCGTTCCATGCTGTTCCTCAGGCCCAGGCCAGCCACAGGCCCTGCAAGTGGTGCTGGAGGTGACATGTACTGGGCATCCTCTGTGTGTCAGCTGCTGTGCTAAGCACCCTGAGTAGATTAACCCAGTCCATGACACAGACCAAGGGAGCAGAGGTGAGGACAGGGCAGTATGTGCTGAGGTTGCACAGCTCTTAAGCGGGACATCTGGGTTTGGACAGCCAGTGATGCTCAGTGTCAAGAACAGCATGGGCCACTGGGGGAGGAAAATCCCAGTCTTAGTCTGAAGTAAGCTCCTAGCCCCTGAGCTTCCCTACAATTACAGTGACCCCCTTGGTGTCCATGGTGAGGAGGGTCCATGGGCCCTGGGGCCCCCTTTGGATACCAAACTCCAGGAAGTTCAAGTCCCTTCTATAAAAAGGTATAGTGTTTGCTATGAACTATGCCCTTCACCCCCATACTTTAAATCCTCCCTAGGTTCTTAGAGCACCTAATGCAAGGCAAATGTCATGCAGATCACTGTCCTGCTGCATTGTTTAAGGACTAACAAGAAAAAAAAAGCCCGCACATGTTTGGTACAGAAGCAACTTATTTTTTAGTATTTTCCTACGTCAGTGGGTTGAGGCCATGGATGTGGGGCCCGCAGACACGGGAGGTCAACTGGACTTGGTGACCGGAAGTGGGAGGTTGATAGAGGAAGCCAACACACCCTCCATGGCTCATTGCATGTCGCTTTGGTGACTGCACTGGTCCAGGCAGGCTACTCAGGGACAAAACAGCAGCACATTTAAACCCTTGCTCGGGAAGGGGGTCGCCACACACAGCCCGTACAGCTCACAGTGCTTCTGAGATCCTTCTGGGAGGGCACTGGGCAGGCCTGAGGTTCCGCAGCTGGGGCTGCTCCTCTTTACAGCCAGGCTCCTGCTAGGGCAAGTTTGCCAGTCTGAAAATGTGTCTCAGGACTCAGCAGTTAAAGAGCTTTCTGATGCAGCTGCACAGTTTCTTAGCCACTTGCTTCCCTTGAAAGCTTAGCAGCTTTCTGTCCTGTTTACTTTCCCTAAGTGTCATGTTTCCTTACACATGCAAAGTTCTTTCCCAAGCCTACCTTGGCTCTTGCCTTTCTCTTCCTCCAGACCTGTCTCTTCCCTTAGCAGCAACCTTGCAATTACATGAAACAATAGAGGAGAAGCCATATCCGTATTCTTAGATCTTTCCACTTGGCTAATTTGCCTCACCAGAGCACTTCTAGAGAACCTTGTGCACAACGTCTCTTTCAATTTTATGTCTTCCCTATTCCAGTTTTTTAATGCCTCCAATTTTTTGCCTTCTTTTTCATTTCTACTCTTAAGGTGCTTTAAAATTAAATGCTTTAAAAACATTTAGAAACCCGATCTGGAGCCGTGTCGGCAGAGATCAAAAGTGTCTGGAACTCGTGAACAGTTACATGAGAAATTCAGGAAGGAAATGAAGCCCCTTGTTGAAAACGCACATTGTGGTATGAGATAAGGAAACTGGGGAGAAGAGTTGGTGTGGTAGAGTTTAGAAAATCTGATGCCTGGTCAGGTCACGCAGTGAGGGGGTTAAGAGACCTCCTGAAGAAAGAGGAAATAGTGTCTATATTGCCGGACACATCCCCAAACGTGCATCATGGAGGGCAGAGTTCACAAAGAAATAAAACAAAAATGAAAAGGTTATGAGGAAAAATGTTAGCTTGTGCCCCTCGGCTTATCCTTAGCTCGAAATCGTCAGAGTACACAACATGAAGTTCCAGAAGATTCATAACTGGGCTGATTTTTATGAAACTGAGGATTCCATTTCTATAGCTGAGCCAGTCGTCACAAGAGGCCCCTGTGTGTGGAAATGAAAACCCAAAGCTACTGAAAGCAGATTGGCCAAGAGATGCCTTCCCATGTAAAGAAGCAGTCGCTGATCTATTGTTGCACTACAAGAGCGGAGCAGCCTGTGTGGTGAATGTTTACATTTTAGAAATGTGCTGCAGTAAAACACAGGTGGCCAGGAATCCTCCTTCCCCGGCTTTGAACACACTTATCCCGCTGTTCTTGTCACTTTCTGAAGCCGTTCTGGGGGCCTTGTTCATAAACTTTTTTACCAATCATGATGCAAAACTGCACGAATGCTACTGCCAAGCACCATCCGACAGCAGGCAGGCTTGTCAAAATACGGGGTCCTCACTGCCCGGACCCGGCACTGTGACTTCCTGCTCTTCTCCAAAGTCAAAATGAGCGTGAAAGAGAAACGTTTGGAATCGGTTCAGGACATTGAGGCAGCCAGGACAGCGAAACTAAAGTCCTCAGGAAAGAGAAATTCTAGAACCACGGCAGGAAGGGGCAAGCACAGTGGAATGGCTGCGTTCAGACCTAGGGACGGTGTTTGGAGGAAAATCGGCTGCAACAGATCGTTCAGTGTAATCATGTGCTTAGTGTAAACATTCAAAGAATATTTAGATGACAGGTCATATACGGACCGCGTGCTCCACATGTCCAAGACCTCTCGATGCTCCGTGGGAGATGACCAGAAGACGATCAGGAGTAGGAGCTGGGATTCCAGGAGGGGCTTCCGTGCGCACCCAGAGGGACTGGACAAGGGCTCCGAGGACACATGCAGAGGCAGAGCCGCGGCCTTCGCTGACACACCGGCTACCAGGAGAACAGCAGAGAGGAACCAGGAGTAACTCCCAGTTTTTGTTTTTTTTTTTACTTCACCTACTGCTCCCCACAGGCAGACGTAAGTAGCAGAAAGACAGTCTTAATCCTCTGAGAACAATCACACCGGCAGACAATCGACAATCAGAAGTCAGAAAACCTTGATGAGTGAGTTGGAAGGGAGCAAGAGGAAGCAGATACACAAACAGATTCATAATGCCAGGAAACAGCCCGAGCTGGGGCACGGAGCTGGGGTGGAGACCTCTGTACACGCAGCGTTGGCTCAGACAGGCCGCGATTTATCACTCCGAGTGTCCCAGGTCCCAGGAGACTTTTTTCTTTTCTTTTTTACTGATAGTGGGTATCAGGGTGCTTACGCTGAGCTAAATTCTGACCCCTTTTGAAATTTATTTTTAATTTTGACACGGGGTCTCACTAAGTCACTCAGTTGCCCGCACTGGGCTTGAACTTGCAACCCCCCTGCTTCAGCCTCCCAGACTCCCGGCCCCACACTGGCCGCTCCGTGCTAGAGGCCGATCTTCAGCCTGGGGTTGTGGGACAGAAGGAAGGCAGGAGAACGCCTTGGCCGAGGGCGGGGACATAGCTGTGCTCCCCAAGTTTGAAGTAGGAATCTTGCGTAGAGCCGGAGAAGAAACAGCAGTGAGCCGCTCGCTCGTCCTCACCTTAGCCACGGAGACGGGAGGTCAGGGCAAGCTGAGTCTCCCAGAGGCCGGGCCGCAGTACGCAGGAAACCGCTGTCACTGCCACACCCCGGGTGGCCCTGCACACAGCACCAAGCACCTCACTGACGGCAGCTCACCACTCTCCACCCCCCAGGGGACAGCGACTAACGAGAAACGCAAAGCTCTGTGAAGAGCATGCACTGGGGAGCCACACAGCCTGGGTTCGAATCCCACCACCGCCCCTGCCGCCTCGTGACCCCTGGCGGGAGATGCAGTTGCTGGATTTTTCTGGCTGTACAGTGCAGGAAGTGGGTGCTACCTCCTAGGGCTGTGGAGAAGATCAGGCCAGGTCTTAGATGGAAAATGCTTCGGGCGATGCCTGGGCGGGGTGGGATTTACCGCAGGGACCCTCTTTCCTGGGGAAAACACTAGAGGCTCAGCAGTGTTCATGTTGCTTCCCTAATACCCTCGGGCCGAAATGGGTGATTTCAGGGCCCTCATGCACAGCCATCCTCCAGATCCAGCAGAACCATGCTTACGTGGCCGATTTAACCAAAGGACGGGCAGGAAGGAAGCTGGGCCGGACCCAGCCCTCCAAAGGGCCAGGCAGCTTCTGCTTTGAACTTCAGAAGCTGAAAGGTACCGAAGCATCGGAGCCCCAGGGCAGGGCCGAGGCCCAGCCTCCCGGTGTGCCTGCCGGCACCAGCTTCCTAGCCATCCTGCGTGGCAGCAGGCACACCAGTGGGTTCACTCGGACGCCCCAGTCCCACGCACCTGCAGGGGACCCCAAAACAAAACGCGCACAAGAACTGTCCAGCTAAGCGGCAGGGATGGCAAATTGCTCGATGCTTCCAGAATCTACGTTCAGGGCTAATTTTCAGCAAAGAAATACATGACTTAAACACCAGCATAGGTGAAAGACTTATTAGAGACCAAAAACTAATAAAATAAAATAAAATGTGCCCGCAACATAAACCTGAGAGTCAGAGAGACTGCCTTGTTCTAGAAGCAAGCTGTACGGGGCAGACCCACCCGCAGGAGAAACAGCGTCCAAGCTTGAGTCCAGCTCCTGCCACCTCCTGGCTAAACAAGTTATTCAGTCTT